TAAATCAAAGAGCACTACTTTTACCAATTGGTCACTACAGGACATTTTCAATAATTCAGCCTGCTTAGCACATTTAGCTTCACAATTATCATATAAATCTAAACATTTCCACCACATATCTCTCGCATTCCAACATTCACTTCGTGACGCTTTAGAATCGTCTGTCATCTACAAAGTATATGACGTCTATGACTCTAATATAAGAAAAAGTAATGAAGAATGCCGTAAAACTTCATCATGAACTAACTGTTTTTCTCTTTTCTTTCGCATATTTTCGATCGAGTCAGATACCTCTTATTCTAGGTTGTCATTACTTTCTCTCTTAAATGTTGTCGCCGTGTATTGTTTCTATACATGTATTCTAGTGCTGTCCTCTGTCCTCAGTCAATTTATGTTAAGATGTAATGGGCTCGCCTCCTTCTCATAATTTCTACTGATTTTTTCAACATTTCTTCTAAATAAATAAAGTTTATATCAAACAATGTGTTACGGTTTTATTGCGTTACAATGTGATAAATTTCTATTTCGTACTACGCAAGGAAAAATGCCTAAAAACTGAAATCATAGCATCATTTTGTTAGCACTAAGTTCAACATCATCTGTGCATCTGTCTACTGAAAAAAGAATTGAAAAATACGGGAAGATCTCACAAGAATCGCAGTATAGTTTTCGTGAGACAAAAAATTCGTCTGATAAAAATCCGTTATCTCCCAAAAGTTTTGAGGAAAAAACACGGATTTTTATCGGACAAAATCCGGAGTTTTTTCTCGCGATATCTATAGAGATGCCTGCGTGTTCTCGCGAGATTCAAAAAACTATAAAAGGAGTTTTGGATATCCTTCCGCGGGACCTCGTGTACAATTTGTATCAAACCTTGTACGATATGAACTTACATTTTTCTTAGGAGAATTCGCAGAACTGTGGTTTTTCTCACGAGTTATCGTGCAACTCCCTACATTTTTTTCAGTAGACGATGCCCTTTTCGTTCAAAAGACATTTAAAGTAGAAAAATTAGTTTTCTATGGCTCACAATGAGAATTTCTTCTTCAATTACTAAAAAATAATTATCACTTCTCTCATCTAACAGCTAAAATTATTTAATTATACGAGACAGTATTTTTTAAAAAGAGTGGTCGAACGAGTCAAAGATAAAGACTGACGTTGTCCAGTTGGTTGAAAAAATCGTGGCAATAAAAATTTAGAACGGTGCTGTCCTCTAGGGAAAAGAATGAGTGAGAATAAAAGAAGAATGATTGCTCAAGCCTTTCGATGAATGGCTGCTCTCGTTCTCGTAACCGTACTTTCTCTCTGATACATCTTGTTGTACAGGTTTTCTTAGTTTTCTTTGCTCTGAACATCTATATAAATGCAGAACTTTAGGATCTCACTTTTCCTTCGATTAGCACGTTCATGAAGCAGAGGCCTGTATGACAATTTTTTATTACTGGAAATAATTGTCACCAATTCTACATTCCAGACTTCTGTACGTTCCGACTGAACTCTGTTGGGTCGGATGGTTTGTTTTTCTGTCATATCAAGAGAAACGAAAATAGTAAACAACTGTTCTGAACTATAGACAATATTACACTACTGTCGACAATATAATATTACCTTATAGTTGCCTAATGCGAGTGCTACTCCTAACGGGTGTACCATAATGAATGAAATCCTCCGTATTTTTCTCTTGTTTTCTTTAGGTCCTAGCGCTCATGCAAAAAAAAATGCGCCGTGAAATTCTCTATTAGAACATGTCAGAAGTTTTGGTTTATAATCAAGACAAAAAAAATTAGACGAGAAACTTTGAAAGGCGCCAAAGCGACCAACTTTATCAGTTAGAAAAACGGATTTTTTTCATTTAGTTTTTTGAAATTAAAACATCATCTTGTAGCTTGTGAAAAACCATCTTTTAATTATACTTGAAATTTGTTGACGTCCAAAGTCATCGCTGAATAGAAGTTATTCAATTTTTCGACATTTTTTTTTCGTTCGAAATTTTCCTGTACTTAAACTTTTTCGTTCTCTGTGTTTCGTGCAAAATTCTCATAACTCGGCAAAAAAATAAAGCTTTTGTATTCGGATTTCTTTGTTTTGTTTTATTCAGAAATGATTGTTCCATAACCGAGACGTGCATACATTTTCAAATTCCCTCAGTGCAGCAGGAAGAAGAGGAAATTGTTCTTTTTGGGTTGGTTATCGGAAATTCGGTTCATGTGCCACGCCATCAACTTTAGAAAAATTCTCTTACAGACCATCCGATAGAACAAATTCGATACCACAGAAAAAAAGCTTTAGGACTTTCTAATTAATATTAGACTATGAAAAAAAAGTTTTATTTGATGAGAAACAAATTTATAAAGCCAGTCACTTTGACGCCTTTCAAAGTTTTTCGTCTAGGTGATAATAAACCAAAACTTCTTACATACTCTAATAGGGAATTTCACGGCGCATCTTTTAAAAAAACGTTAACACTAGGGACTTAAACCAAGAAGAGAAAAGTAGACAATACGAAGCGTATCATTCATTATGGTACACTCGTTATTTTTTCTTGATAATTTCATTCGATACTATAATTATGGAAATATTAATTAACAGAAATCATGTTTTACGTTTTGATTTAGATTTGCTTGTAATAACACCTTTATAAGAGAAAAGTCATGGCTGAAGTTGTTCAAAGACATTTAGAAGAGATGTTGCTTGAATTTGAGCAATCGAAACGCATCGGTTTATTCAACGAACAAGAAATAAAGTATTAAGCTTTTTACATGAAATATTATTTAAACCATCATCTCTTCTCTTTAGGAAAATAATTCGTACTAGAAAGCGGCACGAATATAAAATAATTCGTCGTACCAAAGAAAAAGAATGTTATCTAGATTATATCAAAGTAAATTACTTCTTAGTTTATTCTCTGCAAACAAATTGTGAGATGTAAGATTTTTTTTCTAGTATGAAAATCACCTTCTTCAATTGATTAAAATGCGACGTGAGGTATTACTTTGTTTTTTTCTTCTATTTACGTTAATACAGTAAACAATATTTTTTCTTTTTTTTTTTCAGAAACTTAAATTGGGCATTACTCATAAGAAGAACGAAATTGATCTAGCAATCAAAAGACGAATTGAACGCTTATTTCGTGTAAGGAAATGATTATCATCTAAAATGTTATTTCTTTTGGTAGATTCCTATGGTCTAGTTATATTAAACTGACAATTATTGTCTATTTTTAGAGTGCTTGTCATCGATTTAAAAAAGATATTCAATTATGGTTAACATTTATTGAATTTTTAAAGAAACAAGTAAGTCAAATAGAATGTTATATTTTTAGATATTAAAAATTTTTATGTTATTGTTTCCAGTATGATTATTCTACAGCATCAAGTGTTTATTTATCTGCACTTCAAATTCATAGCAATAAACATTGTATGTAGAAGAATAAAAAGGAATTTGTCATTTTTATTTGTATCTTTTTGATTTTTATAGGGTTGTGGATATTAGCCGCTAAATTTGAATTTGAAGTTATGGTTTCACCATCATCTGCTAGAGCGTTATTTCAACGTGCATTACGATTAATGCCGAAATGTAAACAACTTTGGATAGAAGTAGGTGAATTAAAACGATCTTATTTAAATATTAGTCTAATCAATATTATTTGTTATAGTATTTCAAACTTGAATTATTATATGTT